GGGTGCAGACTCTGAATGATGTCATAGATTTAAGGAAACCATGCAGGATTCAATGTTAGTACTTCACAAATACGGAAGATCATTCTGTAATGACTTCTGTGCAGCTTTGGCTTTAACTAGTTTGATGAAATCTGCTTTTCAGATTTTTTTTTCGCCTTTTTCTGAAGCTGCTACTTTAGTTCCCTGAGTCTCCATTCCTGAACAGCCGCCCTGTTGCTTTGCAAGGCTGCAGAGAAGAAAGTGGAATTGAGTTATGTTCGAGCTACGACAATATTTAACAACTTCTCTATATAGTGTTTCTGCTACTTGATAATGTAAACGCCTTTGAAGTGGTTCTGCCTTGCTTGCATCTGATGTGCTTGCTGCAGGAACTGCACTGCGTACAAAGAAAGCAGCTGGAGGTTGCCAGTGCTGTGAACAGTTTTAGTGGTAAGATGGTTACTTTGTTCATTGTTTCTGTCCAATTACTGAGAAGACCTATGTGACCTACCACCTTTATGCTGGCTTGTTTTGCTGCAAATGTGCTCGGGGCAAGTGCAAATCTATCATGGAGGGATGGATCCGCGTCCTTTGCCACACAGGATCTATCTTCAGCCAGTGTGTTCCAGCTCAGAGATGGTCTGTCTGTAATTGTACCCTTAGATGCGTGTTGCTTTACACTGTTGGATCTTTTGTGGCTTATTACATGGATTATTATGAATTCTGATACAAATTTTGATTCCTCCGATTAGAGCACGATGCGTTAAATAAGCAATGATTACTTGCTTTTTTAAACAGCTCAAACCACTTCTGTCCCATGTTTATTCTTTATGTGCAGGTTTAAAATTCATTTCTATTTGGAGTAATGTCCAGTTTTTAGTAGGCTTGTAGGCGTTCCAATTAGATGGTTTGTGCTGATTGGAAACATTATCTGTAATATGCACACAGAAGCAGCACAAACACATTTTTGCCTATCTTTGATATTTAGGTTCTTCCTGCCCCCACATTTTTTCCTATGTGTCAGTACTTTGTGTCTTATAAAGAGAAGCTGTTTTGGCACTGGGTCTCAAAATTGTGAAGTATTGCTGCAGCTTTTTGCTGTTTAGGTCATTTCTTGCCCAGAGTAGGGTTTTTTGGAGCTTGGATTTTCCTGTTAGAGGAAATGATGAAATGGAAGAACTGAAGGCATGCTCTATGCTGCTGCATAGTGATAGCCACATTAAAGATTCTTCTTGCCAGAAATGTTGAATATCATCTGAGATGCTGCTCCTTATAAGCAGATAAAAAGGATTGAAACACCAACTCCTTTCCTTTTAGGGAAAGTGTCAGGCAGAAGTAGGGCTGGTTCCACCCAGAGCAATGAGTTTGACCCTTTCTTTTGTGATCAATCCCAAAACTGGGATTGCAGGGCTGAATTGTCCCAGTTTTAGTGTGTATTAGTTGAACCTAGATATATGCTAGAATATTGACTTTCCCCTGAAAATCTCAAGAGTTAGCAGTCAGCAATTGTGAGTATGCTTTGATGGTTTCCTCATTTTCTGGAAAATAATCTTCCTGCTCCTAGAACTTCAGAAGGCCTGCAGGATGAGGCCAATTGATTCTTTGAACCCCTCAAAAATAAATGAGGTAATACTGCAGGGTCTGCAGAGCAACAGTCCTGACATGCCATGAGTGCTGGAGGCCACAAAATGTTGTGGTTTGCTAATCTAAATCAGTGCTGAAAACACTGATTAAATAATAATAATAATAAACTCCCTAGCATTTGAATAATTGATGTTGTTTATGTCAACAGTTAAATTGTTTTGAGCAGTTGTGAAAACATTTCTTTTAATGAAAGCGTCCACTCTTGTGGGACAAAATACATTAACTTTGAGGGTTTTTTTTTTTTTTTTTTTTCTTGAAGTATAGTGAAATCTTTCCTGTGTAGACAGGGCTTCAGTCTTGCTTGGCTACGGGAGGCAGATTATATTTTGGAAATAGTGATGGTTTACTATGCTGAGATATACAGCATGTTCTAAACCAAAAACCCAGTTTTGCAAAGTGTGAAGCCTCAAGTGTGCTTAGGGCTGCAGCGTGAGGGCAGCCTGCTTCCTAAACATGAAATGGTGGTATGTGCTGGCTCCTTCCCTCCTCATAAATTCAGCGTGCCTTGGAATGTCCCCAGCACTGTGGCCAGCTGTCTGCAGGGCTGTCTGCATCCAGTACATCTGTGCTCTTGGACTCTTCCTTGCAGGACAGGGTGGCTGCAGCAGAGTTCCCAGTGCATGTGGTCCCAGTGGCTGGCAGCTCACCAACCTGGTAATGGTGTAGGAAGGCATAACTGGCATCATGCTGGGGAACATCCTACCTGCTTCCTAGGATACTTGTATCCTAGGAATCTTGATCCGTGGCTTGGGAATGTTTCCAAGCAAGACTTACCTTAGAAGTACATATGTTAGTCCTTTATTCTTCCAGAATCTTTATGGGCTAAAGCAAACCTACATCTCATAAGGGATTTAGCACACTGTAGAAAGGCAAGTTTTTAGGAGAGAACACCACCTATTTTGAAAGGGGGCACAAATCCTTCTTGAATCTGTGCCTCCATTTATGTGACATTAATCACTGCTTAAATATTGTTCAGAATGCAGTTGCCTTTGCAGCCACCAGCTCTCTACAAGTCCATTGCTTGTGTTTGAGTGAACCCACTGTGTAGGTGTAGTAAACGCAACCTTTAATGGAAGCCCTGTGGATGGAGATTGGATTTGGGATGTGTTTTTGACTTACAAGAGCTCTAGTTTACTTGGATGGGTGACATGGAGCAGGGAGGTCTGGCAGCATGTAGGCAGTGGATCTTCTGTGTGAGCAGAACAGAGAGGCCATTAAATGAACCACAGATCTGTGTTGAGATAACTGTCTTTGAACTACAGGACAATTTCCTGCAGGCTGTGCAGTGTATTTGGATTTTTGGACCTGGAAAATAGTCCTACTGTAGATGAGCCAGTAAGCCATCAGTATTAATCCCAGCCCGGGCAGGCATATGTCCCAAAAGACAGCACTGTAAAATGCAATGGATGGGTAATGGAGCAGTTTTGCTCTCTTGCTAATCGGTTTTTCTGTACTTTCTTTTCCAGTACCCCCATGTGCTTCTTCACCACCTTCCTTCTCTGTGGTGTCCTGGGTCCTAAGTTACACCTCCATCATGCAGTCACTTCAGAGTACTGTTTGTCTTTTTATAGGTTTTGGACTATGAAATCAACCTTGATGGTTCGAATACTTACAGAGAAGAGGTTGATAACGTAACATACTGTTCCTGTTTGGCATACTGTAAGGCTATAGCACTTCTGCGTGTGTTGTGAAGTAAATATGTGGCACATGGTGCTTACACCCCACGATTTTGAGAAGGTGGAATCTGTGTGACAGCATCAGCTTTCAAGCACACAATCCATTGCTCCAGGGAGTAAGCTGCTAGAGATACCTGTGTCAGTTAAATGCAGCACTGTGTCTGCTTATTGTTCTTCTAATTGAGCGTATGTGATGATTGTCTGACAAGCAGTAGTGGTGCAGATTTAAGGACACAGGGATGTTCCCTGATGTCCCACAGGCAGCCTGTGTATCTTCAGGGCAACAATTCCAGTCTATGCATGGCTGCTGGCAGCCCACCATGCAGGTAGAGGCACCTTTGGAGTAGCAGTGATGGTCACTATCCCCCTTCTGCCCCCTGGGATTCTGGAGAGCTGTAGATTGCCTTAGAGCATCTTCCCCTCCTTGGGATGGTATTTAATTGAGGTATGTGAGACAGGCAGGAAGGGGAGCAGACCCACTCCCTCCCTTTCCCTGTGGCCTGCACTAAAGTTTTTAAAAAGTGTCCGTGGAATTGTGGTGGCTATCTGTGCTAGAAGTGCTGCTAAGAACTGTGTCAGCTGGGGTTGGTAACTTAAATGTAAATCTCAAACTCTCTTTTTAAAATCAGGGGTGGGGCGAACTTCTTGTCCTTTTCTTTCTGGTACAGCTTTTCAGAGGTTGTTAACTTCAAAGGTGAAAAAGCAGCCACATCTCTGGTTTTAAGATGTTTGTTGCCCGAGTTCTCTCCATTTCTGAGTCTTGTTCTGTGTTATGTAAAATAAATAATCATTTCTCAGTGGTCACAGAGCACGTCTGTGGTGCACCTGAGGTGGGCCCATGCCTCTGAGAACATGCCCATTTATATACTCATGCTATTCTTTGCTTTGCCTCCATCTGCTGCTCCTTTCGACTTGTGCTTGTGTCACTGGAAGTTCCTTCTTTTGAACTGTTGTGCTTCTCACTGAGCTGTTTTCCAAAAGTTGTCTCTCATTTCTTCCTGCTTGATTTCACAACTAAAGTTTTGTTGTTCGGTAGCTGGGACTTAAGGTTACAGCACTGTAAATCTGTGTAAAACATACGTCTTGTATGGACTAAAAAATAACAAAAATAACACCCATTACTTAACCAAGGAGAACGCAGAAATTAGTGAGAAGCATCACTGCAATATGCTTCTCTTTGGAGCCCAAGTTTTCCTGTACTGAGAAAAGCAGTAAATAAGAGTATACATGGAGAATGGCTGAATGGTGGCACCTTGGAGCTAGGCTGCGATAGTTCAGTTCCAGATGCACATGGCCTGTGATGGTAATTGTAGGGCAGTTTGCATTGAAGAACAAACAAAAACAAAAAAGAAACCAACCCAGAAATGACTCCTGAAAAGATAATTTTGGTACGAGCTAGGCTGAGGAAGTTTTGCCTGTTTTAAGGAGCATTGCAGATGTATCAAGTACCTAAAGTCAGAATTTGTTCACCCTTTAAAAACATGATCATTTACTTTGAATCACGCGTTCCATTTTGATAGCCTCCTTCATATAGAAAATATAGCATGCGACGTCCATCCAAGTGCAAGCCTCCCAGTGCTCTATCTTCTATGTGGAAGGAAGTACTCTGTACATTTCTCCATGTTTGACATCATGGTGTTTTGAATAACCACGTTCCATATTCATACCGATTTTTTGTTTTTGTTTTCAATTTATGCACAGCACTTGCTCTGAAATTTGGGGACTGAGTACACCAAACACGATAGATCAGTGGGACACAACAGGCCTTTACAGCTTCTCTGAACAAACCAGGTGAATATTCTGCCCTCTCTCCATCATAGGACCTTGTGGGAGGGATTGGCTTTGGAGGGTCTGTCATGGGATGCTTTAGCTGTGAAATAGACTGAATGCTTCTTAGGCCTCTCACGGTACAGCATTTAAAGACATTTGCTTGCCAGTGTAGCAATCCGAGTATTCTCAGCTGATGTTTTGACCAATGAAATCCTAATTGTGGAATATTCATTTTTCACACCAGTTGAAAGAATGGGAAGACTTGTTAATGCAAGCTCTGATGGGATTTGGTATTTCTATTAACAACGTTGGACTACTTAATTCTTTAGACCTAATCTTACAAAGTGTTTAAACTGCTTTGTATGCCATGAGCTTTCAGTTAAATCTCACTAATTGGCTCTGATACGAGCTGCTAAAGAACTGCTTGTCAATTCTTCAGTAGTTAACAGCGGGCAAATTCTGAACAGAGTCTTTATTTTTTCATATCACATTGCTTGATTTGTGTACTGAGGTTTGTCTCCCATCCCATAACGATCATAAACATCTGCATTTGTGTAAGCATATGCAGTCTGTCTTAAAACTAGCAAAACGTTTTCAGCTGGTAGCAAGGCAGAGGAAGGCAAGAAGATAAAGCGTGTAGCCCCTGTGAGATGTGTGTTCTCACTTGTTGCATCACAGTCACACCACCATGTGGATCCCTTGGGCAGCTGGCTGCTTAGAGACTGACCTGCAGTACCCAGGGAATTGTTAAGCTTAAAACCATAAAGCATCCATGCCACGCAAAGCCTCGAGGTTTAGAAACTGAAGGGACTGTTAAGTGTGTGATTTTTCTCTCAACAAGTGTCTTCTGCATTTAAAAAATGTGTATGAAGCGATCATCCCAAATACTTGGCTGGAGGTAAAGTGGCTTTTAATGACCCCTAAATTCACTGGCAATAATTTGAGCAGCTCAGAGATGAGTTAACGCTGGTTGATGCCATCGTTTTTCTCCCATCTGAAGCATTTTAACAAGAGCACACATGTCACTAGCAGCGTCAGCCCGCTGAATTCTGAAAATGAGCAAACTGCCCTTCCTGTGTGTTACGCTGTTGACTGAGCGATTTTGAGACAGCGTGCAGCCTGTGAATTCCTCTCCACATCTTTCCCATGTAGATCTCTCGATGGCCGGCTACAGGTGTCGCATCGCAAAGGACTTCCGCACGTCATCTACTGTCGTCTGTGGCGCTGGCCGGACCTTCACAGCCACCATGAACTTAAAGCAATCGAAAACTGTGAATACGCTTTTAATCTTAAGAAGGATGAAGTGTGTGTAAACCCATACCACTACCAGAGAGTGGAGACACCAGGTAGGAAGACAGGACTGCTGCTGGCTTTATGGTCTGTGTGTATGTGAGGGACGTGGGTTAGTATAGGGGTGAGTTGGGGCTGGACTTTGTGATTCTGTGAGCGGGCATTTTGGTGATGGGTTGATGGTTGAACTGGATGATTTTAATGGTCTTTTTCAATCTTAATGATTCTGTGATTCTGCGTACTTGTTCAGCATGATGTGTCAAATGAAAAATAGAGAAGGATGGTGTGTTCTTGTGCCAGGACTGCAAGGTGATTAAGGATGAATATTTGGAGAATACCATCTGCTTAAAGTTTTTAATAGGAAAGGTACTGAAAAATCTTTATCAATGTGTTGAATACCCTGTTAAGTGTTTCCAGTAGTGCTAGCGATTTCCAGCTGGCTGACGATGGTCCAGCATGAAAATGAGAACAGAAAATGAGAATAGTTCACTAAGTCATGTTCAAGAGCAATCTGCTTGTTCTAGTAATTGGCAGTGCAATTGCAGTATTAGAAGTACTGAGACGCACCTAAAGAAACTTATATGGCTTAGATTTGTTTTTTGTTTCACTTCATAGAATTGTGAGTTTGGAGGGTCCTATTAATATTTTGACTTCTTTTCCAGTCTTGCCTCCTGTCCTGGTGCCACGGCACACTGAGATCCTGACAGAGCTTCCACCTCTTGATGACTACACCCATTCCATTCCTGAGAACACTAATTTCCCAGCTGGGATTGAACCACAGAGCAACTACATACCAGGTATTTTCTTACCTCCCAACGTGAAACAGTATGCTTAACATTGCACCATCCTCCTAAGTGATCAAATGAGTTGAAGGATGTACCAATAAATCAAATCGTGCTGATTTCCTTTATTAATTCAAGTGGAACTCCTAAAAATGAAACAGTGACTTAAAATTGTTTGATCTGTAGCTCATAATCTATAGAAGTCTGTCTTGTGTATTTGTTACTACAGTGTATGTACAGTTTTGCTGTTAATATGCAGTATAAGAGTATTGAATTAATAAAGAATTCTTCCTCCTGTTTGCTTCTTCCTACCTCAAGACCAAAAAAAAAAAAAAAATCAAAGTGAACTGCTGCAGTGCACACATAAGCCTCTATTCTTATTGAAATATGAAAAGAGTGACCTTTGTTTCCTATCCCAATTCCCTGTTTCATGGAATCGTAGAATGGCTTGGGTTGGAATGGACCTCAAAAATCATCTAGTTCCAACCCCTGCGTCGTGGACAGGGTTGCCCATTGTTAGATCAAGCACTGGGTGAGTCTGTCCAGGGCCCATCCACTCTGGCCTTCCAAGAACGGGGCAGCAAAAGCCTCTTTGGGCAGTCTGTGCCGGTGCCACAGCACCTCAACAAGTCCAGGTAGATAACATCAGTTTTCTTCTGTTTGCCCACTAATGCCATTGCTCCATCACAGAAGGCCACCAAATGGGTCAGGCACGATTTGCTGTTGGTGAAGCTGTGCTGGCTATCTAGGATCACCTGTTCATCCCTCATGTCCCTTAACGTGTCTTCCAGGAGGATCTGCTCCATGATCTTCCCAGGCACAAAAGTGAGGCTCACTGGCCTGTAGTTCCCCCAGTTTCCTGCTGCTTCAGGAAGTTTCTGGGAAGATTTAACTGAGCCAAGCAGCCGTTTTTTCATAAGTGTTTAAGGCAATTATATTCCAGCATCCCAGTACTGAAATAAGCTGGTAATTCAGATCCTGACATGAGAGGAATGACTGCCTTTAAAGTCAAACGCATGATGTACATATTTTATCTGCATGTCTAATACCAGGATGTTACATGTTTCCTGTAAATCTATCTGAAAGCTGAAGTAGAGCCAAGAAAATGTCAATGAATTTGATCTCCTTTGTTAAATCAATGCCAAATTTGTTGCCCCCATAAAGAGGTTGGAATTGGGTGATCCTGAGATCTCTTCTAACCTAAGCCATCCTAAGACTGTGACAAGATTTTTAAAGGGCTGTTCAAGATGCAGGAACTTGATGTTGCTTTCTTCATTTTTGTATGCTTTTTTGACTCAGTCTGAGGGCTTTTTGATGGTGTTTGTGGACTTTGCTTACTGCAAAGAGACACCATTTGGAAATCCAGGAAATGAGCTCAGGGAGCTCTGGGTAGCTGTTGGCAAGAAGCCTGCTCAAGGTGATTGCAGGTACTCACGTGATATTCACTTCTTTATGCAGCTCACCACACCTCGCTGCCTTCTCTTTGTCACAGACACTGCTCTTGTATTCAAGAATCATATCTGAATCTCAGTTTGTTTGATGTTGATAGCTAATGTTTGCTGCTTAGCTGGGTTCTGATAAGCCTTCTTTAGTCTGACAGCCTGCTTTGGAGAACCGTTTTCTGTAGCAGAAGGCCAGGCTACAGCTGTTGGTCTACAAAGAGATCATCACTCGTGTGTACTTCACGTGCTTTTTCTGGGCAGGTGGTGACTGTAGAGATGTAGGATAACCTTCATGGCCCTTCCAGTTTGAGCTACAGTGTCCAGACTTCTGGCTGGGATTTGTTAATTAATTTTCAGCTGTGCTGTTTCTCACCTCTGACCCTAAAATTGTATTAATAGGTGGAGGGAGGCTGTGTTCAGACTGAGTGGATATAGAACATAATCTGTGCCAGAAAACTCAAATTAGGAACTGGAAGCTGGAAGTGTGGGTTGGATTGGAAGTTATTATTGACTTTAACCACATCTGTGGGCTTCACTGTAAACAAAAAATGAAAAGATGGGTGCAGTCCTGTTTATCACAGTGAGTTCTATAAAATTGTTCAAAACAAGTGTGATTTTTATCATCACTGTTCTTGGTAGTAAAGATTTCCTTCTATTTTTCTTTTAAATTCTCACTTGAATTTTGTCACATTTATATTTAGAGTGAACTGAAAATGTTCTTTTGGTTCAGTTTTATTTAATCTGGTGATTTAATCAAGTTTCCTCTTGCTTTCTTCTCTTATTACTCTTCTATAAATCTCTGACGTGATAGTAGATACGGTTTTATTTTAATTCTGAAGCAGAACACTTTATCTTTGTTCTTAGTGTTTGGTAATACGTAATTAAATGTTTAAACTCTTAGATGTTTCTGAGACAATTCTGAGGTGATTATAGAGATCAGTTAGCAGTTACCACTTCCAATAAAGAAATTGACATTTTATTTTCAGTAAGTAGGAAAAGACTCATGTCCAGTTCAAAGAAAATTATTTCCTGAAAGGCAGTTGGTTAGCACATTATCTGAATTACAAATTAATTTTGAATGGAGGGAAGGAACAACCACAGTCTCCTGGGTTTTAAAGGTATTTCTGTAAAATTTGACATTTTCTAGTGTCAGAATGCTTTGTGCTTGTTACTGAGTTTACTTTGGTCAGTGATACTCCCATTTTTAATAAAAGCTAGCGATGAGAATAGATGGTTTTTGGTTTTTTTTTTCAATACAACTTGGGATTTGTCATAATAAAGAGAGCTTGTGCATCATAACTGATTAGATAATACCTTATTGTTAATGTGCAAAAGCAACTTTTAGGTGCTGAAGAAAAAGTGAATGTAGGGACCAAGCTGGAAAATAACCTTTAAATCTAAAAACCTGTAAGGCGTAGGAGGGTGTCTGATCTGATGGTTGTACTGCATGAAGACAGCTCCTATTTTTTTGTAGAAGTCACCAGATGGTTTTTTCATTTGTAATTCGACTAAATGTGAAAGCTGCTAATCACAATTGCAAAATTATTACTCATTGTAGTGGAAGTATGTCGTATTGCCTGGAAAAAACAGGGATATCCATTAATTGTGTAACATGTTGGAGCAACCGATGGGCGTGCAGGGTGATGCATTTTACATGGACAGTGGGGCAGGTAATGGGTCTGAGTTCTTACTGGGAGGGAGGAAATCCAGTTCAGTGTTCAGGTATCACACAAAGCATGCAGGGAGTTGACGACTAATCCCCAAGTAGTACATCGTGCAAGTTTCTCATTCGTTTAAACTATGAATTAATTTTGATTTTATTTTATTATTTTTTTTTTTTAACAGAAACACCACCTCCAGGATATATCAGTGAAGATGGAGAAACGAGTGACCAGCAGTTGAACCAAAGCATGGATACAGGTAACGTTTCTTTTTTCACCACTTTGAAGACTTGGAATTGCTTGTTGTGGTCCATTCACATGTAATAGCGTGTCTTCAGCCCAAGTCATGACAGCAGCAGCCTTCTGTATAACCTGTTGTGTTTCAAATTAATTCTTGTTAGGGAGGCTACACTGAAAGATCTTCCTAGTGGAGAAGTGCATAAATAAATAAATGTTCACAGACTGTGCGTGAAGAGAGCTCTGCCAAATGCCCCACTGAGATGTTAATAGGCTCTTTATGAGGAGGGCTAGGTTCCCAGGAGTCTGGAAAATTAAATGTAATCTGAATTCTGAATAAAGATGGGACCTGCTGGAAATCTGGTTACAGGTTTTCTGAGGGCTTTAAGTCCTAAGAACTCTTAAAAGAAACCTAGTTCCTAAATAACAGTCATACCTGTCTGCCTAAAATAAGAAGAATATATTGTATATTGCTCTGAACGAATCTGTGTTGTTCCAACAGGATCTCCAGCAGAGCTGTCTCCCAGTACTCTCTCTCCAGTCAACCATAGCCTGGGTAAGCTGGAAACACTTTTATATGTTTGAGTGTGTGTGATGACTCTATTTTTAGTGTACTTGTATACATAAAGTGAAGATATAATTTAGGAAAGAGAGTTTTGGTAGGAGACTATTGGGTTGACCCATGTAGCTGGGTTAATGGCTAATTAATAACTACCCTGTTTCTGCAGCTCAATCTCTAGCAAAGAGAGTAAAACGTGTGAGTGGTTCAGTTTAATTTCTTCTTTAACTTTACCAAAGTGTTTTTAAGTTACAGAAAGGCAATAGAAATGTCTCTCAGTGTCTGAATTCACAGTAACAGTGGCCTAATCATTGTGCTAAGCAAAGTGCAAGTGCTGGAATACATGAGCTGTGCTCATTTTACATCATCCCTTCTTCTCTTCCCACTCACCTTTGTGTGAAATACTGAATTCCATTCTTTTTATTGGGGTAGCTAAAAATGACAGCAAGCAGAATTGTAACTTGTGTAGCTTGAGGAGACTGTCATTTCTGGAAGAGAAGAACAGCAGGGCAGGTAGGCTCCTTTTCAGGCTCAAATTCTGTGCTAGCTTTCTTTCTTTCTTAATTTTTTAGACTTGCAGCCAGTCACTTACTCGGAGCCCGCATTCTGGTGTTCAATAGCATATTATGAGTTGAATCAAAGAGTGGGAGAAACCTTCCATGCATCACAGCCTTCTCTGACTGTAGATGGCTTCACAGATCCATCCAATTCCGAACGGTTTTGTCTAGGTCTGCTTTCCAACGTCAACAGAAACGCGACAGTGGAAATGACAAGGCGGCACATAGGTAAAGATCTGATCTTTTTCCTCTTCTAGTGCTCCAGGCTCCTCTCTCTCAAGGCTCAATTACAACATGATGAGTATTTTCTCTTCAATAATTAAGGAATATTGTTTTCCACATTGCAACATCTTCTTCCAGAAATCGTATTTTATTTTTTTCAGATTATTTTATTTAGCAGTAGCCACTGTTTTTAACATTCTTCTTGCTGCTACATCTTGAGTAGAACCTGATTTCCTCCACCTCAAATGGCAATGCTTGGGTAATAAAATTGTAGGTTTGAGGAAGCTCAGGATGTGTCTGTAACGAATGATGAAAATGGTCAATTGTGAGGAAAAGCAAACATGTCAGGGGTTCTCCCTTTTTGTAGAGAGTAGCCGATGTTTTGCTGGAAAAATGGTTATAAAGAAAAAAGGGGAGTAGACATTATGGCCTCTAAAAGACCTGTTAATTATAAATAGCTTTTGGAGGGAAAATCAATTGTACATTCCTTCTTACATGTGACAGAAATAACCCATGCAGATTTTTTTTCACTCTGAGGCAGAACAAGATCACAATTCAAAAATGAACAATAGGATTTCATATTGGTTTCTTCTCAGCAATGGGTCTAAACGAAGCCCCATTGTTTTTTGTCAAAGCAGTAAAGCAAAAGGGATATGCAGTGGGTTGGGAAATGGTGTGGGTGCATCAAGAGGAAGGTCTGTGCGAGTGGTAGACTTGCTCTGTTAGTTTTTCCCGTCTCTTAACAGCACAAGACACTTCACATACAGCACTTCATGTTGGCACACTTTGTTTACACTGAATCTGATCTGTTTATTTCAATTGTGATATTTCTCAAGTTCTCTCTAAGTGAAAAAGCTCTTGTGTTTGGTTGTAGACCATTACCTGGCTAGAAAATTCAGTTCATGCCATACTAAAAATTATTCTGCTTCTTACTTCCAATACTGTGTGATCTATAAAAGCAAGTTAATGCTGTTTGGCTAACAGCTGTCAGCCCAGCAGTATGCTTAACCAGATAACTGATTTCTGTTTTTGTTGTAAGGAAAAAACTTGGCCTTCTCTGAAACAAATTATTCCCTTCTTTGTTAATGTGCCTGGCTCATATCACAACGAGGGTTGCTTTGAATTCTGTTCCAGGGAGGGGAGTGCGTCTCTATTACATCGGCGGCGAAGTCTTTGCTGAGTGTCTCAGTGATAGCGCAATTTTTGTTCAGAGCCCCAACTGTAATCAAAGATATGGCTGGCATCCTGCAACTGTCTGCAAAATCCCACCAGGTCAGTTGCCTACTGAAGGCTTCCTACAAAAAAAAAAAAGTCTGGTGAACGGATTCACAGGATGTCGTTTGCTTTGCTTTTGGTACTTAGAAAGGGTTTCTTCATGGTTTTGGTCTTTGGTGTAGCTAACACAAGTATTTGTTAAGTGTACCTTTTTGATCTTTTCTTTGTAGGATGCAATCTAAAAATCTTTAATAACCAAGAATTTGCTGCTCTTCTGGCTCAGTCTGTGAATCAGGGTTTTGAAGCAGTTTATCAGCTTACCAGAATGTGTACCATCAGGATGAGTTTTGTTAAAGGATGGGGAGCTGAGTACAGGTAAGAAAAAAACTTTTCAATTTAGAGTTAACAATTTTTTCTTTCTCTAATACATTTTTTCCATCTGTATTGAAATCTGTCCATATGCTACTGCAGCTGTGATATCTGTAAGTTGAACCCATATTTTTTTTCTCTGTGTCAACTATAGAACTCCTCAGTCAAAAAGACCAGTAAACTGATTTTCGTATATCACTCAAGTTCACTGAGCAAGGAATGCCATCAAAGTTCCCTTCATCCTGCTTGCTGGCTTACTGTGGTGAAACCATTGACAACATCTTCAAGTTTCAGAACTTGTTTTACAGTTGCTGTTAGATCTACCATCTCTGTGCTGTTTGGTGGGGAGTAAAGTGAGTTTATTAGGTTGTAGTGTGGGATGCAGTTGAGGAGATCCAAAAGAAAGTGTTGGAGTGACTCAGAGTGCAGCAACTGGAGAACATGCTTTATGCACTGGGACTTACAGTGGAAAAAACTTTGAAAGAGTAAGCTGTGCATTTTTGTAGTAAAATTGCTGAAAACGGTTGAGTGGGGGAAAAAAAAAGTCTTTTATCTGTTCTTGAATACAGTCCAATTATATTATTGCTTAGGACAAACTAAAAACCATTTAGGATGGTGCCTCTTTATGACATAGGATGGCAGTTTGGAAAGAGGAGAAAGCAACTTCTAACTGAGCAGCTTGAAATATTTCATTATTTCAGTATTTCATTATCATAGGTGTGGTTTCAAACAACAACAAAAAAATCCCTTAAACATCCTTAAAAATTGTTTACTGAAAGCAGTCTGACATATTGATACCCTACTGCAATACAGACCATAACAAAAAAAGCCCTCATGATTTCTGAAGCTAAACAATGCCAGGTTGCACTGTAGATCCTGGGGTTTTTATTCTTTTTTTGCAGTATATCCACGTAAATGTGAGCTGTCAGCATGTGGGGGAGGATTTGCAGCTAAATGAAGCCAATTTTGTAAAAGCCTAATTAGATGGAATGAAAAATTTGAGTAATGGAATAAATTGGTACCTCTTTGTTAGCAAGAGGTACGCAAGGAAAAATCTGGCTCCAGTTTAAAGAACAGTTGGATTTAGCTCTGAAGGAGGATGCATACATTCACACATAATTAAATACAACATTCAAATCAGAGTAGAAGAAAGGCTCAGGCAGTCAGATTGCATGAGGACAGCTTGAAGTGAATGGAGTTATGTCTTGGGCTAAAGCAGTGAGGAGGCTTTAGGTGAAGCTTTTACTAAGGAGAGAGTGTTGATTGTAGTCTGCCAACCCTTCAGAGGTCATAGGGTTAAAAAAGCTTCAGAGGAAACTGCTCAAACAGCACAGAATCTGCTGAAGGAATACTGAATGAGTTTCTGTGCATCTCTGCTGAAGTTGGTGCCGTTCTTCAGAAGAACATTAGTTAGAGGTAATTACAGCGAAGATTTAGTGATGCTCAGGTGGGAAATCTATGGGTAGAAGAAACCAAGCTTCAGCTTTGAGATGGCTGCGAAGGGACTGTCACTATTTGATCTTCTGCCAGGGCTGTTGAACAGACCCAGTTATAACATATTAAGGAAGTGTATTGTGGAACACATTGTAGGGGAGTTGACAGCCGTGGAATAATGAACTTCCTTCTTTGGGAGAGGATTCAAGACAAAATGGAATTACATTTCCTGTGGTTTAGATTGTTCTTTTATTGGATCACTTTGTTTTGGCACAGGCGCTCAGGGCTGAGATAACAATGTTTTTTAGAGTGTTGAGAGAGCACAGACCCCAGCTGCTTTCTTCTAGAAAATGTAAAACTACAGGCAGCTTTCGAAATCCATCTTCTCACCAGCTTGATTTCTCTGCCTTTTCAGTTCCTCTGCTTCTATAAACACATTTCCTTCAATCGAAGGGTTCCAGTGCCGACTGTAAAAATGAAGGGGCTGGAATTCTGTCTGCTGATTTGCTGTCTTTGAATCTTAATGCTTCCTCACTTTGATTTGGGAATAACTAGAATTACTGGGAAAAACTGGCTTAGCAACAGTAGTCTTGCCATTCTTGTTTGAGAAAACTTCTATGCCTCAAGTGGGTGCAGGGAAATAACAGGAGTTCTCAGGCAGAGTAGGTCCAATACTGATTTCTTTACTTTGGAGATGAGAGGGAAGGTGTTTGAATAACAGGTCTCAGAAACAAGGAGGATGGGAAAGTGAACGGAACTTTTATGGCTGTCAAGCTTTCAACTTCACTGAGGTGTTTGAAATGGTGTTTAATTAACAGCTTCTGTTGTGGGAAAATAAGGCAAGTTGATGTAAGAGACAAGAGAAACACATTTTTTTTTCTGAGCTGTTTGCGTGAGGGTGTGCAAAACGCATGTGGAGCTAGAAATAAGACGACAGGAAATCAGAGATAAAGTTGAGTGTTCCTTTTGAGATAACATCAGTGCAGTGTAACCACACGCTGTGTTACAGTGTAGTGTTTCTGACAACATCTACCATGGTTGCCTTGTATGTCTCCCTTGACAATTGCTCTAAAAATGCAGATCTTACGATTACCGCAGCGTTCTGCTGCTGGACCATCCCACCTATGCAGAGCTGAGTGTTTCAGTTTCTTACTTCTTCTAGCATTCAGTTAAATTCAAACATAGTCATTATAATAATATAAACAGCTGTATTATTATCATATAATAATGAGTTATAATTATGCATGCAGGCTCTTTGAAGGTGGAGGTGTTAGCTGTGTACAGCTGTCTGTGACATCAACACCGTAGTTGGTGCACAGTTTTCAGTTTGACTTTCTTTTGAAGAATGAGGCATTTGGCATGGTGCTCATAGCACTTGCTTCAGCTCTTATTTTATTCTTCAGAGCAGCATGTCACAGAATCATTTCAGTTGGAAAAGACCACTAAAATCACCAGCTGGCCACCCATCACCACCCCATGCCCACTAATGATGTCCCAAAGTGCCACATCTCCATGGTTCTTGAGCACTTCCATGGGTGGTGACTCCACCATCTCCCTGTTGGAATACTTCTTGATGGTGTTATTGCTGTTTCTTACAGATGTGGGGTGGCTGTTTCTTCTAAAGACTGATGAGCTGTTGGTACACTTGTCACAATGGTTGCAAATTTTAACCTTTGCACGGCAGGGATAGATGAACCGCGCCGTGTGAGGGATTGTGTGATGGAGAACCTCACGGTTTGAAAAACTGCCTTCTGACTTTCCTCTTCCACCTGATTTTTCAGGCGGCAGACCGTGACAAGCACTCCTTGCTGGATTGAGCTCCATCTGAACGGACCTCTACAATGGCTGGACAAAGTATTGACTCAGATGGGCTCCCCTTCAGTACGCTGCTCCAGCATGTCGTAAAACTCCTTCCTCTGCTACCAGTGGGCTAAATACTAAGACCTATCAACAGACTTCATAGAAAAGCTCGTCTATCGTAGTATTTGTGTGTGGTCCTCATGAACTCTTTACTATCCAAAAAAAGCTTTTTTTTTTTTTTTTTTTTTTTATTATTAACGAAAAACAGCACTTGAGGTCTCATCAATTAAAGCACCTTGTGGATTCTGTTTCCTATACTCTGATACTAGATGAAAACTTAGTCTATAGAAATGCCTTCTTCAGAGAGAAGAAGGAACAGCTCTAAAGATTCTTAATGGTGTTTTTATTGGGTATATAATTGAGTGTCCTAATGGTTTATCAATAACATGAATAGCTAAGTATACGTAAAGGTGATGTATCATGATCTCAGATATCACAGTATTGTGCTGTTCTACATTTTAGTTCCCATAGTTAGATGTTTGGTTTGTTTTTAGATTGAGGCAAATCTCTCATAAAATTTCAAGACTTGACTCCTATCTTCTTTTATATTTTTTTTATATAAGCAGGTTTTCAAGTTGTCCTAAACATAAAAAGCAGACTTTAGTTGTATACAAGCTTAACTTTTTTGCTGCCTTCTTAAAGAAAAATCCCTCCCTTGGAAGGGAAATAAATGTCTGAGATTTATCTGAAATCTCAAGACAATTTGTATATTCTTAATGGGGCCTAAAGTGAATCTCTGTACTCTAAATTCTGAGTATCCATCACACTAGGAGTCTACGTTTCCCTACCCATATGAGCTGATGCATCTGTTGCCAGCAGTATTGCTGGCACTGTGTTTTTTAGGATTTTTTTGTACCTTGGATCACTGAAGTCAGTGCTTTTCTTTTTCTCATAGAGTTGATGATAGCGTTGGATACTGGATTAAATACAAAAGTGACTTACCCCTAACATCTGTGTGCTTTCAATAAGCAGATGCTACTGAAAATCTAGGGTTTTTTTGTTTTGTTTTGGAGCCAAACACTTTGAAAAATCCTTTCCCAGGGTAAACTAGACTCTTTCTAATAGGTTTTAAATAGATGCAGCTTCTTAACATGTTTCAGTAACAGAACGTAAATCTCTGATCTGATTAGCTTTGTACAGCTTACTGACATACCAGGTCATACTCATTCATTATGTCATAACGGGCCTTGTTATTAAAAGTAGTTGCTTCTGCAAAACCTTTAGGATAGTGGTTGCTGAGGTATGACCAGCGAAGGAGGGTTTCTAGGTTCTTCACAACTGTGCATGTTATTGTGAACCCTTGGACACTACAACTGCACCATATTAAAAATACTCTGAAATATATTCTGCAGATAAGTCTGGGTTGGGGAAGGGTTGGGAAACTGTATAGAAGGGTTATTCTGACTTGACAAGTATACATCTTACTAACAATGTTGTGATCTAGCTGTCTGTCATTCTTATGTCACTGTGGCAGTAGCAGGATTGCTTTTGTCCTTTCCCATGGTTTCACGCGTTGCACCAGCACTGTACTTTGTAAGTACGGCTAGTGATAACTTGGAGAACAAAAACGTGGCCAGTGTTACAGCTTTCAATACTGACTGAGTTGAGGGTAGTCGTGGATATTCTTATGCCGTAATGACTAGGACATAGAAGCAATACCAAAAAATCGAGCTTTGAAGAAGAGGGCCAACCACCTTTTGAAAATCGACAAAGCAGTTACCAGTTTGTGCTAGTTTTACCAGTAGACTGATGTATTGGTAGAACTTGTGAACCTAAGAAATAAGCTTCATGAGTGTTGCATTTGCCTAATATGTGAATACACTAATAAAAGTTTTAATTCTCACGTTGACTCCTTTGTCATTATTTACTGTATGTTTTCTTGTGAAATTGGGGGCGATTCTAACCAACCCAAAGAAATGCCACGAATTTCCCACATGTTGTGGCTGGAAGGGTACAGTTTGGATTGTAAAACCCCCTCTTGGGCAGCTATTGTGAGGATTCTCAATGTGTGTTTTCGGCTGCAGACTTCTACTTCAGACCAAGTTCATTAAAGCGGTTGCTTTTTTCCTACCACGGGTGTATTTCATCCTGCTGGCACACGTGTTTACTTTCACCTGTGAAGCAGATAAGGCTGGCTTGTCTGGGTGAAAGACATTACTCTGTGTATGAGCAGGTTGAGACTTGAACCAACTGGATGGGCTAATCCTTAGTCTCCTTCCTGTGGATTCCTGTGTGTGTTCTCTCAAAGAGCTGTGGCAATATTCCTTGTTTTGCTGTGGGCATAGCAGTAGCTTTGGCTACAAACTTCTCTGGTACGCCTTTCCAGCTGGCGTACGAGGATGCGTGGTGCTGCTTGCAGACAAGGCCATCTCACTACGTAGAAATCAATTCATTTTTCTCCCATCAGCATCACTAAAGTACTCCTGCTGTGTTTCTGCCACAGCTTGGTGGAACGAGGGTACTAATCTTCATCTGGAATGTTGTTTCATTTTGTTTGAATCACGGAATGGCCAAGGTTGGAACCACCCTGCCACACGCAGGGCCACCAACCTCCACATTTAATACAAGCCCTGGGGCTGCCCAGCACCCCATCCAACCTGCCCTTGAACACCACCAGGGGTGGACGGGGCATCCACAGCCTATCTGGGCAGCACCTCACCACTCTCTGTAAAGAACTTACTTTGCCCGTAGTTTGTTTAAATGCCTTTGGCAGCCCTGGGGTAACTTGAACATACTCTTGTTTCTCAACCCCGTGCCTTTCTGTCTTAATCCCACCACTGTTCTGCTCAAGAATCTCGCTGCAGAACGCATATGGTGTGCAAGGAACGTGGTTGCAGCTCTCTTCTGCTGGGCAAAGTCATCACTTCAAAAGTACAAATGTAAAGAGCTGTATTTTGTTTTGTTTATTTTTCCCACTGAGACTTTTGTTAAATAAAATACCAAGTGGAGAGTAAGGCAGCTTCATTACCAAATCCTCCCAGGATTTGAGAACAGTGCCAAACACCTGACGGCTTGCACCTTTAAACTGAGAGCTTATGATTGAAAGTCAGCTGTGTGTTTTCCTGTTGCTTTTGTGCACGGTGCCTAAGGAGGTGGTGAGCTCTCTGCGTCACGATTCCCCTGCTGTTATTTCAGCATCTTGTGCAGAGCACTCCCACCTCCTTTTGCCTTCCAGGTGCTATTGTACAAGCCTACAATGTGGTGGGAGCTGTGGCATCTTGTTCTTACTCAGGGCACTGTACTCTAACTGGGGCTTACCCACTTTGGGACTGACTGCAGGCAAACTGCCGATAGTTCAGCTTGCATCTCTGCAATGACAGGGGTTCTGAAATGCTCAACAGTCATAAATCACTCTTTCATGATTTCTGGGGGTCCCTTCCAAACCCTGCAATTCTGTGATCACAGCTACTGTACTTCACTAATTTTCCTGTGCCCAACTTCTTGTGTTGCAGTGGGAGGTGTGATGTTTGGGGCTTTGATAGTCATCTGCCTCCAAATTGTTGGCACGCTGAACTGAAAGTGTTTTGTTTGAACCTTCCAGCTCGTCATGCTACATTGTGGTTACGGCTTTTTTTTTTTTTAGCACTGCAAACTGAAATTTTCCTGCAGCTGGGTTTTGAGTTAAAATATTGTGAAATACAGGATTTCACTCTGCTCCACCCACACAGTGTCTTACTTGTGTGTGATGCAGTGTTCCTCTTACCAAAACAAGGCTGGTTGTAACCTCATTCTGAGGCTGAGTTAAGCTTCAGCACCAGCTCTGAGCAAAGTGCAGTCTCTGATAGAAGGATTACACATATCCCAAGCAATGTGCCGTGCTAGGAAGTGCTTCTGGTGGGCCGTAAGGAGTTACCTTGCTGCAAGCCTGAAAGTTTATTAAGAGTAGGAAAATACTGTTGAAACTTGTGCTTTCCTGTCGGGAAATATGTGTTTTCCCAGCCTGGCTTGGAAGCAACCATCACAGACTCTGTATGTTCCTAGATACACAGGTGATAGAATTGTTCGAGTTGGAAAGGATGCTTAAAGGCCATCTTATCCAACTCCCTGCAATGCACAGGGGCACCTACCTGCTCCATGAGGTGCTCAAAGCCCTGTGCAGGCTGACCTTGAGCGTTTCCAAGGATGGGGCATCTCATTAGAGAAGGTCATTTTAAAATAGCCTTTGGTAATGCTAGTCCTCCTTTCCATGTCTCTTTTGCATTTATTAAAAAAGAAAAAAAATCTTTAAATAATGTTTCTTCTCTTGGGAAAGCACTGCTTGAAGAGTGAGTTTCTAGCGGCGCATTGTCGTGGCTGCAGAAACTGGAATCAAGGCTTCAAAGCTGGGAGCGATCTTTGATGTAACGTTAGCTGTTTTAACTGCAGTCAGGATTAAATCTAGGCTGTTGGCAGAGGAAAAGTGGATGGCAAATGATGGATATGTAAAGATCTCAGCCCTCAGAGCTCTTGATCCTCTTCCCTCATGCAGAAGATGTATGAAGGATGGCTTACAGGAAAGCCCTGTTACTTGTGGGACCCAGAGTGGCAATGGACACACATATTCCTGCACTTCTGTTTGTTTTTCCTTTCAACTTGCAGCTCTGAAAAGCTGCCAGTGTTTTCTCTGCACTAAAAGCATCTAGCTATTTGCTTGTCTGAAGCTGTAGTAAACTGCTGTAAAAATGCATGTGTTACAAATGCCTCATGAGTTAATTGAGCTGATGGGCAGTACATACCTGAGGCTGCAAATTCCATTGTCTTTTAAAACTGATCTTTGCTCTAAAGTCTTGCTTGTTTGCATCTTCATTTTGAAGTAAAATTCCAAGAGCAACCACCACAGCTCCAAGCATAGAAGATTATTAAATGTAGGTTTAGCAGCTACGGTTTATCTTCGGATAAAAAGGAGGATGCTGTCCATCGGGCATGTAATCAAGCTCTAATTTGGAGCAGAAAATTCCAGACTTCGTGGGGTTGTATTTCAGCTGCTCCAAAGTCCCCGAAGATACAAAGCAGTTTGACAAGGAGTAGAATGTAGGTAAACTCGAGGTGCCCAGATTGATTAATTATTTGACGTAAAACTGATGCATAATGAATTTGGAACCACTTCAGAAGTTCTGTCTCGTCTTTGTGTTCTTGAAGAGTTGATCTGTAGGTACAAGTCCTAGTAAAAATTCGTATGGACCCAAGCCGAGATGTGTACCAACAGATTTAATTGTTCTTTGTGCTGCGCTTCCTTACATGCCTGGTTTGAGTGTTAGCAAAGACTGGTGAAGCACAGGCTGCCATAGATGGAAAGGGGCTCAACAGAGCCCATCCGAGGGTTGAATGCTTACTATCCAGAAGGGAGTTTGGAATTAAATGTGCATTCATATGCACATGCAGATGACACTGGTTTCCTTTTGTTGCCATACTGAAAGAATGGTTGGAGCACAGGAGCATGTTTTAAGGGAAATTAGGCTAACGGGAGAACAAATCTCATCTTGCACCTCTGCTGCCATCAGTATGAAAAGTCAGTGGAATCCTCTATGAAGGAACTTTAGGTCAAGGCTGAAGAAGTGTCACAGCTTGTCCTGTAGCATGACACTGAAGGCAAGAGACTTTAACTCAGCACAGGGAGAAGAACGAATTAAAAGTAAGAGGTCTACAAATGTTCCTGTGCCAACAGTTGTCTTGAGTAAGTTGTCTTAGGGAGGGAGGAAAGAGCACCTTCCATCTTTGCTACTTATTAAAAAGGGGATAGGAGTGTTTGGGAAGGAATTAGTATGCACGTAACAGCCTGAGGTTTTTAGTTGTTGGGATTCAGAATACTGAGCTGGAACTTGCCTAGTTGATGGACCAAAGCTTGATCTCAGGTGTTCAACACTTGATTGCAAATATGCACAACATGTCTGTGTTGACTGCCACAAGTCCGTGGGGCCAGACGGGGATACACCGAGGGTACTGGTGGAGTTGGCAGAGCTGATTGCCTCCTGGTGAACCAGAGAGGTCCCAGGGGATTGGAGGTTTGCCGGCGTGACTCCCATCTACAGGAAGGGTCGTAAGCAGGATCTGGGAAACTACAGACCTGTCAGCCTGGCCTTGGTACCAGGGCAGGTTATGTAACATGTATCTTGAGTGAGGTCACACAGCGTGTGCAGGACAACCAGGGGATCAGGCCCAGCCAGCACGGGTTCACAAAAGGCATGTCCTGCCTGACCAACCTGATCTTCTGTGATCCCACCTGGTGGATGAGGAAAAGGCCGTTGAAATTGACCAGTGCCTCACCACCCTCACTGTAAAATCTTTTTTCCTTATATCCAACCTGAGTGATCTTGAAGCTGTTTCCCCTTGTTCTGCCACCACAGACCCCGCCGAAGAGTCTTATTCCTCCTTTCCTGCAGCTCCCCTTCAGATACTGACAGGCATTCTCGAGTCTCCTCACAGCTTTCCCTTCTCCATGCTGCACAGCCCCAGCTCTCAGCCTGTCCTCGCAGGAGAGGTGTTCCATCCCTTGGGAATGTTCTCAAGCTGCATCAGGGGACGCCCATTTTGAAAAACTTCTCCCAGGGGGTGAGCAGGCACTGGAATGGGCTGCCCAGGGAGAAGGTGGAGGCACCGTCCCTGGAGGTGTTCAAAAAGCAGTAGATGTTGTGCTAAGGAGAGTGGTTTGTGGGGAAATACTAGTGGTAAGTTAATGTTTGGACTAGGTGATCTTGGAGGTCTTTTCCAACCATCGTCATTCTATGATTCTACGATGTGTTGGCAGACACCATTGTGTTGGTGGTTCCATGGAGCTAAACCATCTCCACTGAAGATGCTTTAAGGCAGCTCAGTCATCAGTTTAATGACAGGATTTGTATGCTGTAAGGAATGAACTGGGCACAC